TAAGACGTTTCAAACGTGGTATGTGATCTGCCAAATGTTTGTAAGCACGTTCGCCTTTCGAATCATCCGTATCCTAAAAAATTCCAGAAATGTTTAGCAATTCTAATGCAACTGTAGAATTCTGATCTAATTCTGGTTGGTTCGTACATTAACCTTAAAAAATCCTTGACTGGAATATATTACGAAGCTTCCTATAATCAAGAACTTGTCATGCACGAAAGTGGATATTGAAAATGTAAGAGAGAAGTTTTTTGTTTTTTCCTTCGCTTTTAAAATTCGTAGCGTTTACTTAGCACACAGATTGAAAATATTTCAAAAGAAAGTGGCGACCACAATGAAAGTGGCATGACTGCAGTGGTCCGGATTCGTCCAAAACGGAAACGTCCCAAAAAGCTTATAATTTGCAAGACCTTATCGGAAAACTTTATACCTATTTTCGTGGGTTGGAATAGATTATAACATCATCAAGAAGCAACATCGCTTGGTGATGTTATATATGACAACCCATGAAAATATGTACAAGTACAAGTTCGCCGCAGATGAAACCCAAACAAGGTCATGTCGCAACTGCAATTTATGCCTGAAGAGATGAATGGAGACGGTATTGCACTTTTTCTCGCAGCTAATGTGTTCTGTATAGAAAGTGCAAAAAATAGATGTATTGCTCCAAGTCGAAAGCAGAATAAACTGTATTTTCTTCGTCCTTAGGAAAAACAAAACAAGAAGCAGACTCTAATGAACTGTTTCCATACCGATGAACCAACCAGCTGCGTTTTTTCCCAAACGCAATCATTTGGCCGCGCAGCTAGCCGACTTGAGAAGATGTACCAGATAGGGAAAAAAGCACGTGCCCATCCGACGACTTCGCGGCTTCTTGCCCACCTGTAGAAAAGGACGCATATGGGGAAGTTGATGAGGTTCTCAGAAACCTACTTGTATGATTGTCTTCTACTCCAAATTGTAGACATCGGTGACTAAGTGCGTCAATATTAGCAAATGTGAGCAGCTAAGGTCCAAATGGATGATCTCTCCTTCAGTAAATGTAGCCAGAATAGTGCAGAGAAATATGTTGCCAGTATGTATGCACCCGGAAATATGTTGCCAGTCTCACAGATTATGAAAGACAACTGAAACGCAAACTGAACGCATGCAAACGCAACGCATTTGTCAGAAATCGTGACTTTCTCCATGCTACCGAAGCTGCTGTTGGGATTAAATGCAGAAAAAAGAGAATTGTCTGCGTTTGCGATTGAAGATCGACGAGCAAAGTTGAACTACCCAAGTTTATTTGCCAAATAAACAAACAGGACGAATGGGCGAAAAGAGATGACAACGGAGAATAGCGACGGAACGACTGCTCGAAAAATAGAGTTTGCCGCGTTTTACAATCTGCAAAAAATTTGCACGTTTGCGTCCCTTACAGTAGGACGAAATTTAGCAGGAATTAACGACGATCTTCTTCGGCAGATGGGTAGAGTAAAACATCGATAACTCATAGGAAAGGTAAAGAAAACCTACAAAAATTTTGCTACGAGGAGAGGAAGGTTTAGTCAAGCGTTTGAGTGAAGAAGTAGAGAATTTTGTGCGGTTTAAAGATAAGTCAATGTGGTCAGGCGCAACCCCTCAAGAGCTCAGGCGGCCTGAGCTTTTGAGAGGTTGCGCCTGACCCAATTGATTTTATCACCGAAGAATCTTTCCCACCCTAGTTTTATGTAACTTGCTAGCACAAACCTCAAAGATTCCACAGTAGGTGTTTGAGCTTACTTGAACTTGTTCCCGCTTTGTGGTGATCGGTTGAGTTAAAGCACTCAAGATGGAAAACGCGGTAATTGCTCTCTTTTTGCGCAAATTTGCGTTCAAACTTCAAATAGATATGAACTAATACAAAGATAATTTGTAACCTTGATTAAGGATAAAAACTTTGCACTGCGAGTTATGATAACCGTATCCCACTAACTACAGCCTGCCGCGCGCGTCGCCTGCGTTATTGGCACTCACAAGTAACGATACGCACCCTATAATGTGCATGGTTTTGTTAAAACACCGCGTAAATATCGACCAAAGCCAAATGCTCCTTCGGCTCTGGTCTTTCTCCTCTGCTCGTCTACGTCTCCTAGGCTCCTGCCTCGCTACTCCAAACACAGGGCATGGGGCATTTGGCTCGGCTGCGCTTTTCTTCGTTCTTCTAAAAACAATTCTAACAAATTGCACACCATATCAAAGCACTTAATCTCTACTTTTCCGCCGACAACGTCGCAAAAGCCCAAGCGCTGTTCACTCAAACCTAAACGGTACACGATTATGTCTGCCGAAACGTGAGTGATGTAATGAATTACGACATCCGGAATCAGCCATCCGAAGAAGGCTTTGATGAAATGAAAGATTTCATGAGGAAAAAGCTCAAAGATTCAATACCTCCTTCCTCTGCTGTGAAAAAAGACATAACCGGAATCAAAACAGACCGCATATGAAGAGAAGCATCGCTGCTACAAGAACGAAAAATCACGAGTTACAATGATAAGAGTAAGACCCGCTATGATGTGCTTAACACGGTCCCGGCAAAGCATCTTTGCTGTTCCTTTTTATTACCTGCAAAGCATTTTTGCTGTTCTTCTCGATGCTATCTTAGCCCAGATACCATCTTAGACAAGGGAAGCTGCCTCCGATGTCTGTATAGAACAGCTGATTCATCCCAAAACTCAATATTCCACTGTTATCCCCTAGAAAGCGTCAAGTTACGTCTTCCAGTTTCAGTCCCTCTTCCGATATTTATTTATTTGAATACGCCACAGGCGCGCCATAGTGTCGGCTTAGTAACCAACAGATTCTTGGAAGCGGAAAAAATCGGTGTTAGAAATACACGAACACAGAGACAAGAAAGACTTAACGCAGAGAAATAAGATAGCTTTTTTTGAGACCATTCGCCAGTCTAGGTCCACACTAACTCAGACAAATCACCGGAACTTCCGCAGGACAAGCCAAATTTGGAGAAGTTCCGCAAGACTTTGTTCACTATTGCAAAACTGAGAACCTTGAAAATCGGAACTTCCACGGGGTTGTCATGCCAAACTGGTTGAAAACCGGAACTTCCGCAGAACCTTCTTCAAGATCCTGCGGAAATTCCGAAAAATGCCAGAGGTTCCGCAGCACTTTGGCCTGCCAGAACTTCCGCAGGACTTTGGATGTGTTGTCTCGTGATGTTGCCTCGCCAACAACTAGAATGCATTATCGAACATGTCAGCGTAGCGTAGAGGATAGTAGGTGGGTTTCACAGTCAACAGAGTGAGGTTGTGGCGACTCGGTGGGCTCATGGCACCTAGATGTTACCCGAAGCCTGGTGCTCGCCCGATACTAGACGACGTACCTAGCCTACCGCGCACTAACGCGCGACCGAACAGAACATAATGTTAATTAAGTGATTTGTCCTTATGACACTAAACTACAGTAAAAATAGATAAAAAGGAACACTACACTAAAGCAAAAACAAATTACTACTACTACAAAGTTAGACACGGGACGAGGGCCCGTCCCATGCTACCGATGTGCGTCGAGACGCGAGACTCCCCCCCCCCCCCCCCCGAGGCAGTGGCGTCAGCGTTCGAAAGGTTACGTAATGACACTGGGGATTTGCGGTTACTACCTTTGCCTGAAGTTTTGGATGGTAGAAGTAAAAGAAATACTCATCGGTAGCACAGTAGGAGGCGCGCAAGTAAAGATGGAAAACTGAGGATCAACCCGTCCCGTGTGAGCGACTCCAAAATTCAGGAATGGCGCACGAAGCGCATGCGACACAACGTAACTGGATAAAACTCAAAATAACCATGAACGTGAGTACTATATGAAGTGAGGTAAACAATGAGGTAATATATGAGATGGCTAAAATATGCTTATATAAAAATGATTAAATATGAGAATGGCTAAACTACGGAAAACTACTACTACAAAGGCGATTAACATATGACCAAGAAGGCTGTGTGCATAGGGTAGAGGCTGCTGCTCGCCAGTAGTGGAGCTCAGGACCATATCCTCGGCATAAGCAAGAGACACCCGTGGATCCATTTGACCAAAGTGCGTTACTAATTGATGGAACTGTGCTGTAACACATGATCTTTATGACGTCAAAGTGCAGCAAAAGGGAATCATGCTTACTATAGAGTGTCCTAGATCTAGAAAGAAGGTCCTTCAGTCAAGCCACATACCTTTCAAACCTCACCCGCGCTACTCTAAAAGACAAATACGGGCGCGCGAGTGCGACTGCAGATGTTTTTGCAGCGCAAGGATAAAAAGGAAAGATGTCCCTGATGGTTTAGGGCAATGGGATACGTCTAAACGCAAAAATTTAACAGTTACTGCAACTTAAACATGCTGTTTTTTTGCATAGCAGCGCCACAAGATGAAAAATATACTGCTAAATGGACGCTAGTCCAGCCTCCCGCGGCCAGAATGGAGCATCGCAAGCAAATTTGCGCAGCATGAGTATTATATAGCGCGCTTGAAAGTGGACTACGCAAGGAAGCATATGCAGCAAATGCTATGGTAATAAATAGAAAGGCGCAAATGACTGTGAAGCGCGAACTAGGCGCGTCATACCGAGAAAAGTCTTAGTCGGGTAAAAAGGTCGATGCATATAAGAAGCAAAAAAGAATTATCAAGAAAGTTGCTCATCTGCATCGGTTTCAACAACGGCAGGCAACGGAAAACGATGCAGATGAGCAACTTTCTTGATAATTCTTTTTCAAGAATCATCAAGAATCTTGTTCATCAAGGCAGGCAAAATCGACCATGACAGTGCTTCGCTTCCAGCTGGTGAAGATAGACAGCTGTAGTGGATGGTAGGCAACGAACGGGTTGATGGCAGGGCAATCGAGAGGCAATGCATGTGACCTAGGAATAGAAGGACCAAAAAAAAAGGGAAAAGAAACTAAAGAGCAAGAAAACTTGAAAGGAAAATAAAAGTATCTAAAATTGTTAATAAAAGTTATAGTTAATAATTGTAAGGGTCAATGCTCCGCCTTCACTTTCCTAGATTGTCGCTTGCGCGTCGCTTGTCGTTGCTGTTTGCTCGTCTGAATGTCCTCTACGTGCTTAGCACTGATCTCGTGTGGTACTAGATGATTGATAGTACGATCGAGTATGTGTCGTTTGCCGGTCCTTATTCTCGCTAGTCTTACTTGTCCATCCGAGGATGTGTGCAGCTGTAAAATGAGGCCCAAAAACCATGTAGATCTCGGAACATCCTGCTCTCGTATGATAAGTATATCTCCAACGCGTGGTGGTACTATTGTTCCTCGACCATTTCGTGAGCGCGTTGCTTCTCTGTCTGCAAGCGCGGCAAGGTAGTCTTTCTGCCAGATATTCCAGAAATGGTCGAGATCATTTCTAAGCGCGTTGTAGCGCGTACACAACGACTCGTAGTTATCACTTGACGACGACTCAATGCGCTTAGGCAGGTTGTAATTAAGCCCTCCAAGTCTGAACTGAGGGTTTATGAGATCTATGGTCTCAAAACCACAGCGTCCGGATCCGTCGAGTTGGCTGGGAAGAGGGGCCTGGTGTTAAGAACCGCCTCTATCTCAAAAATGAGAGTCTCGAACAGCCAGAGATCGAGAGTTTCCTTCCGTACTACCTTCTTCAGCTACTCTTGACAGATCCTACTAGACCTTCGGAGTGTTCTCCTAAAGTCGGCAGATCGTTGGTGATAATCTCCTTCCCTAGGCTTGAACGTAGGCGCGTTGTCACTAATGACGCTATCGGGTGTTCCTCTGCGCGCTTTAAATCTTCTGAAAAGGATGAACTGAAACGCAGAGTTATCTCTTACTACCTCAAGATGTAAAGCGCGGGTAGACATACACGTAAAGAGACACACCCACACTTTCTGAGAAGACTGATTCGCACAACGATAGGGCCGAAATAGTATAATCCGATGTGCTGGAACGGACGACTCCGAGTGACTCTCTCCGGTGGGAAATCCGGTGCGCGTGGATATGCATAAAAATGGCATTGATGCCGTCTGCACGTCACGCATTTAGCAATAACGATGTTACTAAACGTTTAATCTTGGGGATGAAGAATCTCTCGCGTATGGCTGCGATCAAGTGCGACGTGCTAGCGTGGAACAGCTTGCTGTGATAGTGCGATATAAGCATGGTACACAGTGGATGACCTGAAAGAATGAGGATTGGCTCCTTCTGCTCTGCGTTAGCCATGCGTAGGTTCACGCGTATGGTACCGTCTTCTTCGTGCCGTGTACGGAGTTTCTTCACGTATGAGCCATTCAACTGCTGACTCTCCTCGCGGTAATGCTGTCATATCGCCAGGTGTTATACTGATGGTCGTGGCGTCCCTAACAAACGGTGCTCGTCAGGCTCGGTGACGGCATTGCGCGTCCTCGCACGATGTCGTAAGTTATATGTACTTCAAGACGTATGCGATGATGCGAGTCAGCCGGGTATAGGAGTTCGTACGTTTGAAAGGTACGAAAGACTTATAAGGCGCTAAGATGGTACTCGTAATCATTACGACTCCCAAGTTCGTTCTAACCAGTTCCGCTTCTCCTCCTGAAGGTGGTGCTGAGGATGAATCAAAGCTTCTACACGGCCAGTCCGTGAATGGGGTCGTGATAAAGGAAGGTCCATGCCACCATATGTGGTTCTCGAGCTCTACGGCTGTCAATCCACGGGTGGCGCGATCTGCCGGGTTGTTGTCGGTAGGTATGTAATAAAATCCACTGTCGATGTTACTTGACTTCAACTCGCTCAATACTTGCCGGATATAGTTGACGCGATTGGCAACGTATGTCTTAGGCGTTTTAAACGTCTGAATCCAGTACAGGACTATCTGGGAATCCGTCAAAAACCTGATAGAATGGAGTTGGATCTTCAGCTGACTTCTCAGAAATTAAACTGTTGAAATTGAAACTGAACCATCGAGCATCGGTTAGGCAGAAATTGAACCAGCTAGCATCGGTTATGCGACGTCGCGCCTGCGGCAACGCCTATAAGCCTGCAGTGCTGTTCTCTTGCTCGACACCTACTGTTCGGCGATCTTCATAGGAACATGAAGCGTGTCGTGCTTAGGATCCCCACTTAATTCCTTGACATATTGTCCGTGTACATACATACAATCCTCTTTAGGAATCTGCTGCATGAGTTGATGGTTATTCGACATGAATTCTCGAAGGTTCATACTCATGTGCGAAAAGATCTCCTTGCATTCCATCTGTTTCGACACACATTCCTTGGTGCTATCTGCACCTACAATCACGTTGTCCACATAAGCGTTTGCAAGGATCTCTTCTTTTAGGCGGTTGTAAGGATCCCTTTCGAGGAAGTATCTGATAGACATATTCAGTAAAAACGGTGATGCATTGATGCCGAATGGTACGCAGTGAAGCGTAGAATACGTAGATTATGGAGGGTGGCATGTTAACGTCCTTGAGCCAGAGAAATCTCGTAGCCTCCTGCTGATCTTCGTGCAGATGGATTTGATGGAACGCTTTCTCTACGTCAGCGATCATGAGATAGTGGTGAAAACGGCTTCGCAACAACGTGCCTATAAGGTCAGGCAGTAAGGAGGGTCCTTGATGTAGTCAGTCATTCAGGCTTCGATGTCCCTTCTGATGACTGGATGCATCGAAGACTGTGCGCAGCTGGGTGGTAAGACTTTCCTCCTTGTACACTGCTTGATGCGGGATATAATAAGTGTTGGGGCTAGATGGTAGCACGTCTGTCACGTCCTCAATGATACCGGCTCGAAGCTGCGCGAGGATCGTCTCGCAATAGTCGTTCCATGCTGATGGTAATGGACGGAGCTTGTCATACTGACTTTCCAGACGACGGAATGCCAGGGCTTTGTTGTCTGCCGGTGCAGGATGGTCAGACTTCCAAGGAAACTTGACATAAATCGAACCATATATGACCCTAACAGTGTCGTAAAATTGCCTGATGACGTTGGCATCTGTTTGTAACTCATTATCGTCCATTCCGACTGTATCCAAGCCAAGAAAACTTCGTACGATTGTTCGGTTACTGCGCGTCGTCGTTAAGTATCGTCATTGCCGAAGTAGTAACATTCGATGCTTCAGGATAGGCTGCTCCCGAAAGTACTGGTCCAGATCGTGTGAGTGATAGTATGAGACCTAATGGAAGTTTCTCATTCCGGTGTGAGTTTACGATTCGCCAGTAGTTATCTATCCCGATGAGCACGTCAACTTCGACTCTCTCATCACAGTAGTCGTTAGCGGCATCGTCGTCGTTGTTCGTGCGTGGAACCGTGGTTATCACGTCCCGCGTCCAAAGCTGGAGCGTGATTAGGTGATCGAATTGATCCCATAACGTGAGCGTGACTTCCGACGATTCTTCCGTAAGCAGATGTCCTCCAAAGGTCAGGGTAGTGATAGTCCGGGTATTCGTGAACGTCAAACCTAGATCGCGCCAAGGACGTGCATATGAAGCTAAACTGCGAACCGCTATCCAGAAAGACTGTTAGCAGTTCATCTTTCGCAGTTATACGGTTGCGAGTTACAGCATGCACTACCATTAGACGTGGCATTTGTGCTGCGGACATCTCTTCGCACGAAGTGGCACATGAAGATGGCAAGTGCGGGCCTATTTGAGCTTGGTGTTCATCCAGCAACTCTAAACGCACGTCTGAATGGTTTGGCTGCGAAGTCGGAGTGCAGATGGAATTTTGCGAAGTGGGAGGTGCACTTGCTCGTCGACCAAAACTTGTACGCTTCGTGCTAGGTGAACGCTGCTGACGCTTCGGTGACGAAGGCGATCTTCGGTTCCCTGCAGTAGGCGAAGGTGTGCGCGAATGGCGCTGTGGACGATGACAAATGCAGTTGTCTTCATGAAACCGAACGCGTCTCGGAGATGGGTATCTACAGTCAGGTGTCGATGGCCGGTAGGGGTGAGACGCTCGTGGCCTTTCCAAACACAAGACGGGGTGATGAGGTCTGCCACAATATACGCACAGAGGAGCTGAGCAGAATCGTGACAGGTGGCCTTGGTTCAGACACATCTAACAAAGTCCGTTCTGATTAACGAATGCTCTGCGCTGTTTAGCGCTACGTACTTCGAAGCAATTTTCTGGTCGATGTCCTACGCGCTCGCAGAAAGCGCAACGGTATTCCTGACAGTGCGGACCTGCTGGACTGCGCGAAGAGGGTCGCGGATAATACGGTGTCGGCGATCGACTTCGAATGGATTGGTATCTGGATGGTGAAGGTAAGCTGCGCGAACAACTGGGGCACGAAGGTGACTGATAGCGCGAAGAAGACCTGTTGTACGGCTGCTTACTAGGATACCTGCGTGGGAATGAAGAATTAACTCTGGGACGGTGTCCTCTATCTTCTCCTGCTGATCTATCACGTCGTCGAGTGCCGCCAATAATTCGTCATCCGTCCACATTGAATCTCCTTTCTTCTTCAATTCGTCAACCTTGTCGCACGTATGTCGTGGAAATTTCGAGCGGATAGTCTTCAGTACGGCAATAGAGCGCGACTCCTCGTTAAGGCGCTTCATCTGGGCCCAAGTAGCTCTTATGCTGCAGAGAGTGGTACGCTGAGAGGTAGCGTTGTCTCTCGCAGGTGCTTGTTGCTTGAGCTTCTCCCAGAGACGATTACGTAGGAGCTCAGGTCTAGTATAGGTGCTCTCAATAATGCGTACTGCCTCATCATAATCTTCTTCATTCGGTTCAAAATCCGCAATGATCTCTGCTGCTTCTCCCTTCATGCGCGACTGAAGGTACATGATTGATGGAGACGTACACTAATGTTGTTGTGCACGGCCTTCTTGAACATATTCCAGAATGCGGGAAACTTGGCTATGTCGCCATGAAATGCTGGAATATCGGACGCGGGTATGGTGAACGACTGCTCCAAGGTGGGACGATGAGGGACCAGGGACGAAGATGGGTTAGTGGGGTTGGTATTGGGGTATGGCAGGATGATGGATCCCAGGGGGGTAAGGGTTCGCCGAAGCAATGGGGTTAGTTGTAGGGTTGCCCGGGGGAATGCCAGATCCGCTAAGGGGCTGTGAACACTGGTCTCCCTGCGAGGGAATCACAGCTTCAGTCATGGGGGCTCGTTCAGCAGGCGCATCCAGTGAGGGATCAGATGGGCGATCCTGCCCGGGTACAGGATGAGTGGAAGGTTCCACCTTCGGACCTTGCGCGAGCTGCTGGGTCGGGACCAAAGGTTGGTTAGAAGACGCGAGACAAAGAGTTGGGGACGGAGTACATGGAAGCAATCGATGTAACATGACGATCATAAAGCATATCCGCGTTAGGCAGGAGTTTAATCTCATTGCCCAGACGATCAAGCAGAGTATCCGCCTCGTCCAAGAGATCATCCATATCATTGGAGTCCCAATGCGCGAGGATCTCATGAAGGAGGGTGAACTCTCCTTGCTCGTCGGGGTTCTAGCGAGCAAACTCCTCAGCCTTCTCCCGCGGCTGGGTAAAGGAGAAGCAGCTCGAGTGATCAAAGATATCAAATTTGAAAGAAAACGAATACGATTTTCAACAAGTTCGTAATCCTTGCCTGGCTCGAAGGTGAGAGCTTCCGTTTCTAGATTGGCCTGTTCGACCTCGCCAATCTTCTTACATAACTTGTTCGCCGCTTTGGTGAGCTGAGCTTTCTGATAGCCAAGGTGAGCACATATCTGAAAATACAAAGGGACAGCCGAAACGATATAAATATACAAACACGAATACATAACACTAAAAACGATGCAAACGTGACCCAATGACTACAAACCCGTTAAGCCTACGTCTAGACTGCAAAACTAAACCTACGAACCCTTAAGAGGAAAGTACCAGAACTAAAGGCGCGACTTTAGGATAACAACAGTAAGCGCAAGACAAATAGTTAAGCAGAGTGCCATCAAGGAACAGAGCGTGCCCCGTGGAGCCGCGCGCATAACACAAAAACAAAGCGAAACCGCTGCATACCAGAGAGAACTATCTGAGGCCATGGGTATGGGATTGTTGCAGTGCCTCTCCCAGCGGATGTCCATACGACGGTTTTGCCCCTGTGGCGAATAGCCCACTGCGGATACCCCAGCGGAGTTCTCCCCAGCGGCGAAAAAGATCAGAACAACGACCTCACACCACCGCAGATAGTCTCTAAGAGTCCACCGCTATATGTACAGGACAGCGCGCTGCCGGCAGGGGTTCGTAGTGATAAGTTGCTGCCACCAATTACCACTAGGCCACCCCACGCATTGGCTATACTTGAGACTGGCTGCAATGCTATGTGTTACCTGTTAGCTATATGGCGCGACAGGATCGCATGCTCTGTTTAACCACTTGCCTGATGTTGAACTAGGTGCGGAGCGTGGTAGCTACGGGGTCGTTACGCACGCATGGGGGACGGGGATAGCTAAGAATTGCGCTACTACTGCGCGAAAACCTGCTGAGATGTGGTTGCATTCATATTGTGAAGTTTCACTCCATGAAACTCCCTTTGATTCTAATATTATTATAGGTTGGGAACTAAGTTTTGCAACTCATCCAAAACTTTCCTCTCACTCAACATGACGCACTCAAATTTTGCCACTGTTTTGGTTATGATGTAGGCTACAAGCTCAGCTGCTGTTCTACCGAATTCTGAGCCGGAGGGAGGGTTACGGTAGGTATATGGTATAAAGGGTAAAATTGTGAAATTTGACGACTTGGCTAAAACTTGGCATAGGGGGATTATTCGATACGCTGATCACAGAAACGATACTGATGTTGCGTGATAAGGGCATTTTTTAAGACTACTGTAGGCTTACGGTAGAGGATCTCACCCCAAACAAGGAAGGAGGCGTTGATTCAACAAATGAATATGATATTCCTGTCTAGCGGGTCAAAGAACCTCAATATGTAAGGCTTGGGGATTTTTGTGGCTCTGATTCCTTAGTCATTGACGGCTGCTCCCAGCAGCCTTGCGCACAGCGACTCGTTCAAAATTGTGAGGGCGCCAAATCTCGACTTGCCCTAAATTTTATTTCTTCTTTGGTGAGACGAATAAGTGAATCTCCATCAACAATTCGTACACGATTCCGGATTATTGCCATGGTCCAGGCTGCTAAACTTCATTTTGGCTTATAACCACAAAAATGCTCAAAATTTACTAGTTTTCGAAAATGTCTGGAATTTTT